CTTTAGAAGACAGTCATACAGATTTCTGAAATTCTATTGTGGCATAGGTTTGTTTTGTTTTCCTTTTGGTTTTTTTTCTCCTAAGCATATACTAAGCATATGAGTGTTAACTTAATCTTTTAACCCCCAATGACACATTCTCTTCCCAGATCAAAAAGGACAGAAAGTAATGCATTCTTCTCACATATCCAACTCCTGCATGACCAACAAAAGCTCGATACAAAAGTGCAGCCAGAGAAACTGAAGTCATACTTAGCCTTGCACAATTAAATATATCAGTCTTCACAAATCTTGCTAAAGCATAACGGGCGCAGCATTACAGGCTGGATGAAGATGGAAGACTTCTGATGGAAGGACAAGCATGCAAATAGTATTTCCATGTCCTCAGAGACATGGAAAAGTGTGATCAAAAGACCAATTAACCTATGTTTGCATAAAGGGATAGAACAGCTGGGGGGGGAAAAAAAATGTACTTAGAGTGAGATTTTGTTATTATCCATAAAATTTTAAGACTTATCTCATTATTCTGAAGTGCACCAGAAACACTCCATTACACACAATTATTTAAGCCCTTCTACAACTGACCAAGCCCTTCACAAACTTGCCAAACAAGCAAAGCCAATTCACAGATTGACACAAATTCACCTCCCAATCAAAGCCATGAATCAACACGTATATTAAACTAAAAAAGAGACACTGGTATGATGGTAGATAAACACATTCCAAGCATATTTTTTTCAGCTGGAAATTGACCCACATTTGGCTTGAATTAAAGATTCATTGCAGTGAAACAAGTAACTAAATGGAAAGATATGAGTCCCTTTGAAGAGCGTGCAAATCAAATTTGGGCGATAATTAGCAGCAGACAATTGAAACCTACTGTTTATTTGCACAGAACCTGACATTTCTGAACTGCTCCTTGAATGGACACACAGGCAGCTGAGTATTCTCTGCTTTTCAGCTCCCAGCCCCCTTTTTTTCTTTTTTTAAGCTTTCACAGATGACTGAGTGAACTCAACAGCTCAAAGCTACTGCCATCTTTTTAAGATTTTTTTTTTCCCCCCACAAGAAGCAAACAAAAATCCTTCAACTGTTCTAAGAACTGACCTTTAAACACTTATGTCTACTGCTTCTCCACTTCCCTTCCAAAAACACACAAACCCAGCATTTCAAGTCAGTAACTGTCTTTGGATTGCAAACAAATGCAACTACCTTTTGCCTATAACATGTTGAGGTTCCTTTAACCTGATCTCCCCTTTCGTGACAGCGTTAATTCCAACCTTCAGACTTGCATCCTTGCAGTGACTGGACCCTAAGATCAGAAGTACAAAAGATGGAACTGTCATAAAATTGCAATTAGCAGCTTTCATTCTGAAATGAGCAGGGCAGACAAATAAGTACATAAACAAAATTCCCAAGTTTTCACTGTCTGCAAAAATCATTCCCCAACATCTATGTTAATATTTATTCCTACTAAGGTAGGCAGGTAAGAAAGAACATATCTTGACCTTATTTGGGGTAGATTCTAAACACACCTTCACCTTCAGCAGAAGACTTTCTGAGCTAGCATTTCTACAAATTCCAGATGAATTCTCCCAATAACACACATAAGGAAAATGGGAGTACAGACAAATAGTTACAACTGTTTGTATGACCATGCTTGATCACAATTGCTCTGGAAAAAAAAAAAAGAAACCCACAAAAAAACTAATCTCTGACAGAGCACTACTACAAGAACTGGTAAAAATAACTTTAAGCTACTGGTACTTGAGGATCCTTTTTTACTTTGTAGTTTGAGATTTGACTGCCAAAGGATAAAACAACAAATCAGGGGCTCCTCTTCAGGCTTCCACAAATTAAACATGGTGTAATTCAAGAACAGTTCTTCAACTCCTAGCACTGAAGTTAGGAAACAGTTAAGAGTTAGTTCTCAGACTGGCTGTCAAAGAATCAAATTTCTCCCGTAGTCAAGGAAGAGTAAAATAATGCATTCTCAAAAGTTGAACACTAGTTATTACAAGTGTCATTAGGTCGCAGACATCTTCATTGAAAACTCAGAATTTACCTTTCACTGTATGGGAGTTCTCTTTTCCATCAATAAGGAAAATGCAACCTCACAGAGGGGAAAAACAGAAACAACTTAAAACCAATAAAAAACAGCACAGTAGCAAGTAGCTTCCACATCTTTCTTATCTTTTTTAAGAAGTATGTTGCCAATGACAATCACCACTCACTACAATGAAAACACCTCAGTATTTTAGTCTACTCACAGTTCTTAGTAACCTTCCTCCTGAATTTAATACCAGACCTTGCAGATAAGGCACGTTCCTTCACAACTGCCTTTCAGAGTGTGTAGGGTCCACTCTTGAAACAGTTAAAACATGCAAGCCTACATTCAAGTACAATACTCATTACATTATTAAATTAATCTTTTACCTATGGAATTCAGGTATTTTCATAGAAATGTAAGGAGGAAAAATACGCTGTGACCAATAATTTTAGATGATATGTTAAGTCCATGATCTAATACAGCAGTGGATACAATCCTGTGCCAGTTCCAGAGCATAAAAAACATCCAGTGTTCTGAAAAAAAATCACATTTAACCATTTACATCCCAGAGCTGCCCACAAAATCCATCTCCCACATTTTCCTACCTGCCTGTGTTTCCCAAACTCTGGAGCCTGCTCTCCTTCAGATTCACCTGAAATCTGTGCATAGAGGTTTCTTTGTGCACAGAGTCCCTCATTCCCAAGCACTCTGTATCTAACCTTTTGCAGACGCAGACTTATTATTTGCCCCTGTTAAATAGGGCTTTCCAAATCCCCTACTTCCTAGTTAATTACACCTTGAAAGGAAGGTGACATTGGTTAACCTTTGTGATATTAACTACACTTTTATTCTGTTTGCCATTTATCAGCATTTAGATATACCTGGCAATATTTAGCTGAAAAGAACTACAGCAGTTTTCCAATCATTCTGCTCCTGGCATAAAGGATATGCACAACACATGCATCGTCCCAAGCAGGCTTAAAAGAAGAGGGAAAAAAAGGTCTATTAGATAATTAAAATAAATACATTTAGGTTCTGTGTATTAATGCATTTTGAAATTAGACTTTGGAAGGAGAAGTTCTAGTCTGAAGTGCAGTCAGCTTCAAACTGAATTAAAAACAAATGATTCAAATTCAGTAATGGCAATATTAATTATATGGCTTACAAAACTTAAAGAACTCAAGAGAGAAACAGAACACATACAAACGTCTGTTTTGTCAGTGCTGGCCCAATAGCTCAAAGCTGCAAATTAAGAAAGCAACAAAATACCCATATTTAGAATATTAGACCCTTCAATTCAAAACAATCACTGATGCCAAATTGGGCTGATTGAGAGAGTAAGGTTTTCTATTTTAGAACTGTGTAGTAATTATTAAAAGTAATGATGTCTAGAGAGAAAAAAAACAATCTACTTAATACAAACACATTTCTTTTTTATCACCACTCTAATTCCATTAACTATATGATACTGTCTACCCAGGTGCAGAGATGTTAACCACTGTAGTGTCTGGAAGTCCTTGCATCACTTTCCACTGAAGGAAAAAACAAATTTAGTGGATTTTTAACAAAAGAAATACCATCGCAGTCCTTAACTGAAAAGCTTTTTCCATCCATTTCAATGGACTGTGGATAAGGTCCTAAGCACTAGATTTCTAGAAAGGCAATGCCAGAGGCCTGCACTGCATCTGTCCAGGGACAGTTGAGCTGTGTGAGGACAAAACTGTCTTAGGAAATTAACTGGAATGAAAGACCATTATCTGGACAAGCTGTAAAATTGACAAATGCATGGCAACTCATACAGCCAAGAGTTCAGCACAGTTCTGAAAATTTGGTGCTCGGCATGACTGCATCATGCAGTGAAAAGCTCTGCAGACATAAAAGCTAGCTGAAGTATTAAAAGCCATCTAGATGCATGTGCATGGACTAACTTTGCTTCCCCTTCAAAGCACCAAATTCCAAAATTGCTGTCATCCCATTCATTTAACATAGTTACAATTTACCTCAAATGGGAACATTTCATTTTCTACAGATTCATTAAAAAAAAAAAAAAAAAAAAAAGGAAAAATGGAGTACACTCCTGCAGTACAAAAGCAGTAGTGAAGGCAGAGGACGACATTCCAGAGACCTGGTAAGCTGTAGATGATGGCACACACCTTAACAAAAGCTAGCTACACATTATGCTAAGAGTATACTAAGAGTATGCTAAGAGTATACTAGAGAAGGGCCTTACATTCTGAACTAGCTTCTCTATTTGTAAAACATTTTTCCCCAACACGTTGTATGCTACCCCAACCCCCTCTGAAATATGCATGGCATTACAGTAAGACAATTTTATAATTTTCTTCCCACTATATGTCCTTCGTCTTTTTCTGCCCCAGTACAGCAAGATTGCTCAAATTTCCTTGTTTATCTGTTGCAAATAGTTATTACAGATACTTCTTTTAAAACTTCTTAAATAAGCTATGCATTACCTCGCATGCTCAAGAACCTCCAGAAATTCTGCCTTGAAGGAAGGAATAAACACAAGTTGCTATCCCCTCACCCCAAAACCATTATTAAAAGGCAACAAAAACATACCACGCTCTTGTAACAAAAAGATAATCTGAAGTGACCATGAGCTGCATAGTAAACTGTACATCCAATGTCTTCCAGCCCAAAAGGCTTGCCTCATAATTTTATGTGGATATGCCAAAGAGAAAAAAAAAACCACCACATTTAGTCATCCTAACCCAAATAGAGATTAAAATAACATATAATTGATTTTATTCATTTTGTTACTGACTGAATCCATGTGAGAAGCTTTCAAAATGCAAGTTTATTTTGTCTTGTTGACAAAATAACTGAATACTAACCATAAAGACTTCTACCTTGCAACATGGCAGGCCCTAATCCACGATGAGAGGTGGTGTACTTCACCAATCCTTCATTTTCATAGCCTCCAAATATAAAGTGTTGAAGTTCCAATCATAAGAGCTTTACTAGATCAGAATCTCAGCACATTTTCTGAAAAATTCAACCACAGTAAGAAGTCATTACCCCTCTAGAAGTAGGAAGAAGCATTACATCATCAGCAATTAAAGTATCTTCTTCTCACAGCCAAAAGAAAGAAATGGGAAATACTGCCAACATGGATGAGATGGCTGGTTGACAAACACAAACTCTTGTTCTACTATCTCCCCGAGGTATCAGGAAGATGATGCCTCATTTTGTGAAAACAGACAGCAGAAGGAGAATGTCTCTCAGCAACCTCATCATGGTAAGATTTGCAACAACAACATAGCAGGATCACTGTCAATCCTGTTATTCTGGTATGACTATTACTGCATGTAATGCTGTATGCTATGCCATTAGAACCAAGCCTCAGTAGCATATGTTCAAAAGTTTCATAGAGTATGAAGAGTTGGCCTATATAATATTATATAATATAGAAATTTTTAAAAGCACGGAAGTAGGAATATTTTGCAACCATATTACTAAAAACTGAGAGCAATCCTCTTTTGGAAATGTAAATATTCAACTTAGTTAAATCAAGACAATCACAGATACGCATTTTTCCCAAATCTTTGGCTGTATTGCAATGGTTGTTTCAATTTGTAATCTCCAACTAAACATTTCCTATCCATGGATTAACAATATATTTACTGACTTGTGTCTTTTAACAGTATTTATCCAACATAACAAAATAAACTGCAATTTGTTATACTTTTTTTTTTTTTTTACAAAACATTTTATAAATATTTTTACAAAATGTATACAAAGCAATTTCAAGTGAGACATACTTTACAAATGAAGGTATTTAAGCAAATAAAGTCCATACCACACTGACAATAAGTGACACATCCTCTTTAAGTGAAGTCAGTCTGTAAGGCCTCCCTAATCTAACAGATAAATTATACTAAAATCTTCAAAATGAACATCTTTTTCTTAATTGCCAGTTTAAAATTTGTTTTAATATTAGGCAGTATTAAATAATATTGAGAACACAATGCTGATCCAGCAAAATAATGAAAACATGTTTAAAGTCATGCACATTCACAATACTTTGCTGGATTCAAGTCCATATGATTAATCTAGACTTCTTCTTACCAAAAAAAAAAAAAAAAATCAACACAACAAAAGAATTCTTTCATTTCCTGTTTCGTAACGTACCAGAACTCCTTTAGAACTGAATTTAAAGGAGTGAACAACAGAACATGATCAATCTAACATTTACCTTGCTAGTTCAATGGGCTCCTCTCATAAGTAGTTCAGGGAAATGTGTCTGACCAGATCAACAATCATTACTTTTTGCAATTCGTCATTTTTAATGTCATTGCCCCCCATCCCAAAATTAGATCCAACAGAAGACACACAGCCTGATATACATCAATTGCCTATTTGCTGTACAGACACTGTATCCATTTTGAGGTGGCACAAAAAGCAAGTGTATCAATAAATGTGCAACTTTTTTTTCCTCTACAAAAGAATGAACTAGTTAGCATACAGCTGCGTAACTGACCGTTTTCCTTCTCAAATAGTTTAGAACAGTTAAATTTCCCAAATCATCAAGTATATACGCATCAGAATACACAGCCATGAGCATATTATTAAATCAAAAAAGGCAATAGGTGAAGACTATATCGTCAGTTTCACCCGTAACAGAACAAATCACTGCCTGAGAGTCTATTCTATGGACACTTAGCTAAAAATTTAAAACTGGCAATGCTTGTTATTACTTTGAATATTTTATACAACACTCGGGAATGTTGGGTTTAACAAACATGTATTTTAAAATTGGCACAATTTTTTTTAAATGGCAACTAGTAACATACAAAAAAAAACCAACAAAAAAACAGTATTTCCATCCACTCCTAAGGGAAAATGAATTTTAAACAAGTTCATCTTTCTCATGTTGCTTTTGAGATTTGGTTTCCTTTAGCGGTCAGACAGTGGATTGTAGCTCAGTACTAATTTGCACTGTAATCTTTCACTGTCACAAGGACATAATTCTGCTTACTTCTACGGTATTCAGATGGACTGAATTACATGACAACAAAACTCTACCTTTTGTTTTCCTTCCTGGCAATCTAACTGACAACCACAGTTTGTCACAATGAGCCTCGAGGTTATGAAGACTGTAATCATTAAGTCTGGAAAATGATTGGTAATTTCTAAGAAACTGGAGGGGAGGTCTGGGGGAGAACATAAGCATATCTTAGAAATCACAAAAGCTGTATCCTCCTGAGCAGACATATGTACTACCTGCACGAGACTAATGTCAGCGTATTTATTTATGTGCACAAAAGCACTCATGACCAAAGTAAACTATGAAAAAGCAGCATGGGCAGCAAAAAAAAAAAAAAAAAAAGACATCATAGATTAAAATAAATAAATAAAATAATAAGATTCTATCTTACCAACATGACAACAAGCCAAATGCAAAACGTGCAATAGTTTCACTTGGCTCTACAATATGAATTAATAATTACACACTTTTAGATATGTTTTAACAATGGGACTGCTGATCAACTTTGGTCTGTACATATCTTGATAATTATGACTGCTACAGTGGATGCTTCAACATTCTCTGATAGCAAAAAGCAAAAAAAAATCAAAAATAAACACTGGCCTTAAAATCTTTTCTGAGTAAGGCTAATGTCCTCTTAAAATATAAGCTACAAATATCTTAACAGTTTTCAAATAAAAGTGCTTTTGACACTTGGTCTAAAAATTAAAAAATAAAAATAAAAAAATCAAAGAAAAAAAGATAAAAAAAATTATACCACTTCAGAAAGACTCAAGGCTGACTACATCCAATTATAAAATGCAATAGCTCTTGAAGAAGAGTTAATATATATGTAATATATATATAAATTCATGGCTCTATCATGGCCTCGACCTGTACACAAGAAGCCATTTACTGGCTTCCAATCTACCTTCCTTAGTCAAGCATTTATTACTTCATATCATGCCACTGTGACTAAGACCATATAATATCATCTCACAGACTAAACTTACCCACTACAAACATATCAAGGACTAGTTTCTGCTCAAAAAGCAATAGAAAAGCACTTTAAGTTCAACTTATGAAACCTTGTTAACACAGTGATGACATCCTTCCAACTTAAGACTCCTAGAACACAGATTCCATTACAAAGCAAATTATCACTTCTGAATAGAGGTACAGTGGGTTTTCCAGAACAACTTAAAAATCTGATGATTTGTGGAAAAGGGTAGGGGAGAATTGTTGCTTCCATCACTTTCTAAAAAAACGTTTTCTTAATAAATATATCCTTTCAAATGACTGTGATTGTCAGTATATTACCATATTACATAGGGCCTAATGACCTGCAACCTTGTTATGCTGCAGGACTGCACAATTATCAAAAGCACTATTGTAATAATACTTGAAATAGTAAGGCCCTAACAGACTGCATTCTAACAAGGATTAACTTTACTTGGCTATCTCACTGTAACCACAATGAGTATTGCTCTCAAACACAGAACAGAATCTAGTTTAGAAAGGTTAACCTTAAATGTATGTCAGGCTGTACTTGTGGTGTCATTCACATTTGCTTCTGCTAAGAGAAACATAACTTTTCCAAGGTATTGTAACTATTAACACTCTAAGATACTATTTACAGCTGCTTCTAAAATAGAGTCAGTTTCTACACCTTCACTGTGGTCTGGAATAAATTTTTCCAAGCAGTTTTCCTGTGAAGCAAGAGGTGAAAAATTAGGAAATTCTAAGTCAACAGAGCCACTACTCGATGCCTCATTTTGTGTCGGTCTCCCAGTTTTTTTAAGTTCCAAGATATTCTTAAATGTTGTTTCTAAACTCTTACTCAGCAGTAAGTCTTGCTGGGGTTCACTGGAGCCTTTCATGTTATCAGGATGTAAAACCTCATTCTTTGGAGGGCTCCTCAGAGTTTTGTCTTTGAAGGAATTATTACATGTTACCTTTGAGAAAGATTGGACTGTATTCCTTGATATTTTATTGTGTGTTCCATGACTGCTTCTTGATACAGTTTTTGACAAGTCTTCAGAACTCAAAGAATTCTCAGCTGACTTGGTAAGAACTTTACCAGCCATCTTTTCTTCAGAAAGGGCCTTGTACTGGCTCCCAGAAGAACAATTAGCTTTCTCAAACTTTAAAGCTTTAGTGAGGCTTTCCGATTTTTTTGTAGTTCCTTCTTGTGATGTCAAAATGTTGTTAGGCACTAGAGGAAGTTTACTGTGATTTGTGGACTCTGCTGAGCTGAATTTTGGTCGGTCTCTGGCTTGAGTTTTGGTAGTCTGACTTCGAGAAGGTAATGTTTTGCTAGACTGATGGTCACTTTTGCTGGTCTGTGCTTCATCAGCTGTTTTATCAAATTGTTTGGCAGAACAACAAAAATCAGCCTGATAACCATCTGAAAAATTAAGCAGCAACATTTTATTTTAGCTACGTTTACTAAAACCATGTTTAACTATTTAGCATATGTTTACAAAAAAATTGTTCAGGTTTTTCTTAGTATTCAAATTTGGGTAATATCTACAGTCTAGTAATACACATCTTAGGAAATATGCATATGCTTGAGAGTAGGAACTTATCACCAAATTAAGCAGCATAGCATGCAAATAGTGTGCGCAGCAAAATCATACTAAAAGTGCTCTAAGTATTCTAAATATTCTAATATGCTATTAGAAAGACTAGTATTTCAATCCTCTAAATTGCACTATCATACTTCCTCTGAATAGTTTTTAAAACAGCTAACAATCAGTGCCTCAGTGTGGATAGAGATATTTTTTTAACTGATGATGCTATGCAAACATGCTTAAGATTCAGAAGTTAACCATCACTTACCAGGATCCACTAGTGCAAGACGCTTCTCCCGGGTCAGAGATGCTCTTTCTTCCTGGTTAAACATCCTATCAATCATAACCATTTCGGCAGATGGATTTATCCGCTGCAGCAAAAGGAAAAAAAACACTTCTGAAGTCACTCATATGTCTGTACTAAATTAAAACACTTATAGTTTAGTTACTTTTCAATGGCTTACATATATGTGTGAAAATCATCCATAATTCTATAGCATCTTCAATGATCCTTACAATGACCACAACTTTTGAAATTCAACAATAAAGTATTATTCACATTTTACTAAATTTAACAACTGGAATCACTATACTAGTTGTAAGTGTTACAGCTTCTCACAACTGAATACATTTACCACTGTTTTTCTTAGAAAACATGACATGCAGTAATTTTCAGAAGGAAAAAAAAACAACAGGAAAAATCTTGCAATTGGGATCACCCCACGATCTTGTTTCTCCTCTGCACTTCTCTCCCAGTAGTACTGGTATTTTCAAGTAGTTTATGCTGAGTTGCATTTTGCAGTCCATGCCTTCATGCCAGTGGATGCATCCAACACAGAAAAAAAGCTCACTGGCTATTAAGTCACAGCACAGGTAACTAGCTCCAAACTTAAACATTCTTCTAGGTAACTTCATTCCAAAATGACTGAACTGGATATATCATACAATATTCCAGATGCTAAAAGAACAGATTTTCACCTCTCTCTTCCACATCTGCAACTACTTGCAAATATATATGGATGGTAACTATCTCTTAAACAGGACTGCCAGATTCCAAAGCCATATTAGTTGTGACACTTCTATTATGCAATCCTGTCTTACTATGTATTCCTGTCCCTAACTAGAATGATTTGAATGTCTTTTATACTCAAATTTAATTTTTTCGGACTTGAAAACTACTGTGTCTGAAGCCACAATGAGATCCCCTGATACTTCCAAAATACATTCTTCCAGTAACTCTGTGCAAGTTGGATTTCTTTTTACCTCTAACCTGGGACCATGAAAGCATTTCAATTAGTAGCGTTTCTGACAAGAATAGGAAACCTCAGTTTCTAAGGAGAAGTAATGATTTCCTAAATTACAATGAGTCACCAGTGTGCCCTCGTGGCCAAGAAGGCCAATGGTATCCTGGGTTGATGAACATGGCCAGAAGGTCAAGCAAGGTTATCCTCCCCCATTACTCTACTCTGTTGAAACCATATTTGGAGTACTGTGTCCAATTCTGGGCTCCTCAGAAAAGACAGAACTTCTAGTGACAGCCCAGCAGAGGGCTGCAAAGATAATCAGGGGCCTGGAGCATCTCCCTGATCAGGAAAGGCTTAGAGACCTGAAACTGCTCAGCCTAGAGAAGACAGAGAGGATCTTATCACTGGTGATAAATGACTACCACGCATTAGATAAGTGGATGGGACCAGGCTCTTTACAGTTGTCCACTGGAAGCACAGCCTGCTCAGAGAAAGTGCAAAGTATAAACAAACAGAAGTTAATGTGCCCTTAACATCTACTGAATTTATATAATAACAGCAGCCATAGGCAGTGTGTCAAATGAACTCAGTGTAAATCACTGATTTTAAGATATGAGTCTACACTAAAAAATCTAAGTTGGTCACTGAAATTGCTGGTACAATAGTAAACTTCACATATATGTGTGTATATATACTTCTTTACATGCATACACATAATGATATACCATTAAAGAGAATTAACGAAATTAACTGTAATGCCAGCTCCTACCTTCCTGTATTATTTTTACAAACTCAATCACATCATATAAACATTTCTTCTATCTGCATTATGCTCCTTACCATTGCATCTTCTATAAGTAAACATCTGTATTTGTTCAGCATAGCTTGTGTCCTCTTCAGTAGCTGTGTAGCTACAGATTCAAATTCACTGTCCACTAGAAAGACAAGAACATACTTTCAAACACTGTACTTCAGTAACCTGCACAAAGTTTAAAATGTTCCCTTCCTAATTGCTCTAAATTGCACACAGAATTCTCTCAACACATTAATTACAACTCCAATGCCAATTTAAAAGATGGAAATTACCTTTTCTTAAGTCTTCCTCAGTCGGCAGCGACCCCTGGCACACATGATATGAAAGGAGTCTCTGAACTGCATCATTTAATGATCTGAACTGACTTTTATCTGGTGTCACAGCTTGCATTTGATCCTTCTGTAACTGCTGTAGCATACTGCAATGGAAATTGGTATCTATAATTAGCACATAATCTAAGTTTATACACTACCAAAAACTAAAGGGAGATGAAAATTGGAGAAAATATCTGTAATAAAATTACAAAAGAAGCCAATGACTTACAAAGCTCCTTTAGTTAACTGTTTAGCAGCAGGTCGTTTCTGTCCAACTAAATGACCATCCACCTAAGTCCAAAGTAAGAGACAAATTATAGCACATCCCTTCCTTTGCAAAGCTCACATTTCAGCATTTATTTTTGCCAGCTAAGTGTATCAATACTAAGTGCAATCACCAAGCAAGTATGAACACATTTAACCATCTCATGTTTTCATAAGGCAAAGTAACAATGAAATATGGAAGTCAGTTATCTTAGATCACAAACAATCTTGTTTACAGGCAAATTCAACTGCAGTGCTTATACATTCTTCACCAGGAAAAAGGCTGGTTATCAAATTTAGCACGCGAAAAGGTTTCTTTTCGTTTGAAAATAAAACTGCTCTCAAGAACTGTCTTCCCCATGTCATCTTGCCCAATACTGATGGATTAAAAAATTTGTCACAGAAGTAGGCTAATGTTGCATATGTAAATTCTCACAAGCCATGGTGTTTAGGTCTGGGTTGAAAGCAGTCCTGGAATTTTTTTCAGTGTTAGCAATACACATATAACTATGAGATCTGTGTCTTCTGCATTCCTTACCTTACTAATGATTTATGAAATTATTTTGCAGCAAAATGCTGTCCTAAAACATGTTGTTCTCTAAGGTGGTAGAGACTCAGGTTCCAATTATACAAGAGGCATTACTGCAATCCAAATCTTCTCCTGAATAAGTTATTGTGAACCCAAGAGCTTTTGTTTAATACAAACTATTATTTTTTCTTCCAAGACACTAGCCAACTGGTCCAACAAAATCAGTCATAGAGAAAAAAGCTACTTTTGATTTAAAAACAGATTGGGTGAAAGCTCTTTTAAGTACAGAACATCCCCCTTACCAAAGCAGGAATGGCAAGAAGCAGACATACTGCAACGGTACTTGCTACCTTCATTGCACAGAAAGCAGTCACCTTCACATGAGAAAGCAAATCTGACCAATAATTAAAAAACCAAGCTAAACTCATAACTGAGCACTAATTCATGCTCTGTACAACGTATACTTCAGTCAGTACAGTTACAGCAGTGAACAGAAGTTGTAAATCAGGTCCTTCCCTTTTTTTTTTTTTTCCTGTGATTTTGTAATTTAGCTCCATCCACAACTAAACCTGCACCTCCTAGCCTAACTCAAGCCCTTACCTCCTACTCAATTGCTCAGTCTGGGAACGTAACAATTGTACCCTCCCTCAGAACTTACTTGTATTCTATAAAAACTGGCCTCCCCTTCCAGCCCCAAACCCCAGAAGCACTGTTAAATTTTTTGTATGTAATTCTCACACACAAAAGAAAACTTTTGGTGGGAAACAAACATACGCTGAGGAAAGAAAACAATGCAGTAAGAATCAAAGGCTAGATGGAATTTTCCTGTTCCTTCTCACAAATCATCCCCACCCAACCATGTACACAATAGCTAAGTTTACAAGAAGTACTGCCTAGCTCATCTTCAACTAAATGAAAGAACTGTGATGTCATTTCAAATTATCTTCAGGAAGCAACAAACTCCACTAAGCAAGGACATCTCAAAACAGCATTTTCAGAATATCAACTGGCAAAATACTCAATGTTTGCTATGTCAACTTCACTGAAATTTAAAGGGAAACATATAAGTGAAAATATTCTCTACCTGTATACACTGAACTGAAGATGATCCTACTCCTTTTTCTTGTGATGTTCCAAGAGACTGCTGTATGATTTTTCCTCCAGAGTCCTGCCCTATAAAAAAAACATTGAAAAGACTGTCATTCTAAGCAAGAACAGAACTATTTAATGTACCTATCCCAATCATTCTATTTGAGTTTTTGACTTTTAGATGAAAGATGTCCCACAAGTTTAAAAATACTGATATAAATACCGTGGGGACAAACTGGCATCTAAAAACAGAACAGGACTGATACTCTGTGCTGCAAACTACAGAAAGCCTTAAATATAAGGATTTCCTATCACACCACTGTAACACACCAAGAATTTCAGTACCATAAGTACAATGTCCCAAAAATTTACTGAAAAAAAAATCACAGTACATTTTATCAAACTTTTCCATATTCTTCAACTATCCAACTTCATTGAACTCTTCTGTAACTAACATTTTTGTATGAACTTGTTCATACTATCACAAGGGAACATACAAAAATTTCAGAGAATTCTATAGCTGACGTCTGTATTCCTCCAAGTTGCAAAAAAGAAGAATAAAAGACAGTTCAGTTCCATTGGATTTTATAGAGGGAAAAACTAATTCTCTACAGACCAGATTCACCTTTTCAAAAAGCACACACTGAACAATGAAAAATTTTGTTTGCAGTCTCCTAAAAAAACCATTCTGATCACCTCTATCAACACGAGCCAACAATGCAAGTCTGACACTGTGAAAAAGAATCTATTGCTGCTGCAAAAAAAAAACAACCTGACAACAGAATGATTTTAAAAAGACCATGGTTGACCTGATAGGGTGTTGCTCAGAAGACTTGATAGCTGATGTTGTCTCAAATTATCTTGAGCCTTGGACGCAGAAACTGGTGATGTCTGGTTCATACCTTTCTTCTGTGGCACATGCATTAAAAATAAAAATAAAAAGCTGAAGTATTTACTGAAAGCTTTAACAAAGAGGAAAAGAGCAAGAATAGGCAAATGCAGCCCTATGCATCCTCCTTCAGCCTCAAGCTTGTCACTGGTGAAGTCTCACCTTGACTTTTTTCACTGAGTTCAAGAATTGCGTACAGTAAATCAGCAAGGAATGGAAACTCCACAAACAGAACAAATATACAGAGGGTACATTCTGGATGCCCTGAGATTCACCCTGACTCAAACTAAAAGCAGCCTTCAGGTAGCTAAGCTTTTGAGAGTCTCAAAGCTGCAAAACAGTCTCAAGAAAAACACTCAATAGAACAAACTCCCCGGTGTTCAGCAACTGAATGATACTGACCTTATGATACCATACAACATTTAAGACTTAAGTACAAACAAGCTAAGGAGATTCTGGGAAGCAGTAGAATCTGTTCCCTATAGTTAAGACCACACTGGCCGCTTTTTGGTTCCAAAATTTTACCTGAAAAATGTATTCTTTTACAGCAAAAAGGAATTTTATGCTTTTGTAACTGCTGAAACTCACTGGCCTCAACATGCATCCTACAAATACAAAAATAGAGACATATGAAGAGAAAGTCAGTCTTCAAATTACTCATCTGCAAACAAAACATTACAATCTGTGCTAGCAGTTTTGGTGAAGACTGAAAATTTGGTCCTACATGTTTGCCTTTATTTTCTAAATAAAGCCACAATATTACACTGCTTGTTTTGGTCTCAGTTAACAAAAAGCATGAGACCTTTGGGAAAAGAGAAAAAACAACAGTAATTGGTGCAATTCCATTCTGAGATGATAGCTATCAGTATTTTAAAATGATTATAGAGGAAAAAAAAACAAACCAGACTAAAACAAAACAATAAAAAGCAGAGTTAATTGTTAGTTACTAATGATGTTAGATGCTAATGAGTTCAATACTGACATGCTTTGAAAACTCATTTATGAAAGCAAATAAATTTAAGCTGAATATAAACTAGAACTGCATCAACTGGACACTTCTCACCCTAAAGGCATGTTCAAAACATTTAGAATTATTACTTAACAGACCTCTTCTTCGAGATATTTTTTACAAGCTAAACGTTTACAAACAGCTTTAGAAAGTATTTTCTCCTAAGGACTTTCAAAAACACCTTTCACCTTTTCTTTGACTGCTTCAAATTTGAAAACTTCTAACTGCTCCAGATCCAAAAAAACTTTAAGCAAGCAAAATGCCAAAAAAATCAATGGTAAGCAGTTGAGAAACTACCACTGTAAATCACCACTAAAAACTTCTGAATTAACAAAAGCGACAGGCTCATTCACTCAGTGACAAACTTCAGAAAATACTGAGCGAAATGACGCATCTAGGTTACAGTGATTTTCAGCAGTTACACAGCATTTGTAATACTACAGCCTAACAAAGTCTACTTCCTCTATATTAACAGTTTTAATACTTGGTTAACAAGATTTTAGCACGGTTTAGAATCATTTCTTCAGCTGTATTCTGAAGCAGTTTGCTTACCTGACTGAAGGCGAATTGTTGTTGTGTTACTCCAACTGACGTGTGACTAAAAGTGCTGATGGATTTGGAAGAGGATGCTGGAAGACGATGTGATGAACTGACAGGAACTTGAGTCCTGCTCTGTGTGAGCTGATCTCCAGTAAAGTTTCCTCCAGATGCAACAGACTGAACTGAAGGTCCCAAGCTAGGATGTACTGAACCAGAAGAACTTACAACAGCGAATCGATTAGAAGCTGACATATTTGAGACTGTAGACTGCCCAGGTGACATTGTGGAATAACTCGATCTACCTTGAGAAGCATTAGCCTGACTGGGTGACAAATGCAACACTGTCGGTGACGCCTGCTGCAGTGGCACCTGTCCACCAACAATTTGTGAAGTTCCATGATTTACTATAACTTGGTTTCCAGGAGCTGTGAAGGTCTGGCCAGAAACAAGTTGAACAGCTGTGTTCTGATTATTCAGCATCTGTCCAGAATACGACTGGTTGGCTCTCAGCATGTTTGCAGAGTTCCTGTTGAGCATTACATGCTCAGCAGACACTTGGCTAGGAACCAACTGGGAAGGCTGCGTCTGAAGAAGCTGTCCATTTATGGCCTGGACATGATGAACTGAGTTTGAATTAACAGACAAACTTGTAGGTATGAGAAACTGATTTTGAGGTGCATGAGGCTGTCCCATAGGAGAATGGATAACAATACTACCTCCAGCATTACTAACTGTCTGAGGTGTAACTGATTTTCTTGTATTTTGTTGATTAACGATGTTAACAGACATATGAGGACCGACTACTGAACTCTGAGGTGAGTTTGCAGAAGCAAACGGAATCCCTTGCTGTACGTGATGTTGCTGTATTCCCAAGTTATTCACATTGTAAGCAGACTGCTGACCCATCTGGACAGGCTTTGGTTGGATATTAATGGGTACTTTGTTAGAGTTTGGCGCTAAACCCCTTTGAATTATGATATTATGGACAGGTACTGATGTCTGAAAATTTGTGCTGTTAAACGGAACTGTTACAGGTTGTGCTACAGGACTTGTATTTGAGTTCCCAAACAGTGAGTTACCATTTGGAGTTTGTCTATGAACCAAGAGGCTACTGCTCATGTTCGCAGGCGTCTGCTGACCATTACCCTTCAGTATTATCTGAGATCCATCGAGGTTATTAATGGTCATCATGGAAGGCTGATTACTAAATGAACCAATTAGCTGTATCTGCCCAGAACCACTAATCTGGTTGCTATTAGACAAGTGCTGGCTGGGAACACTAATTCCGACATGTTGCATAAAGCCATGTTGCACGCCGACTGTATTGCTTGCAAAAGATGCTCCAACAGGTTGCTGTACCACTTGAGTAACTCCTACAGGTTGCAACGTCTGACCTGAGTAATTAGAAACATTAGAAGCCTGAGTAAAAGATGCTGATGAAGAAGGATGAAGCTGAGCTTGTGCAAACTGTTGACTAGAACCTACACTGGCATCCAAATATGCCTCTTCTGCCAAAGTCTGTTCAGTAATATTGGCCTCCTGCAAGGACTTCTGAAGAATATCAAAAGGTTGATCCTCACTAAGATCAGGTAAAGGAGAAGACACAAGTTCATCTTCAAGAAATTGAAGGCTACTGGACAGCTGCAGTCCATCGCTAGGCCCCTCTCCAAGCTGACTGCTTACACCTTTTACAGACGACTTAGGATCAGTGTTCTGAAATGAAATATAATAAAATAAATCCTTTTCAGAAATTCTCAACTGTTTCCCTATTAAGCTTTTTCACCCAAACAAACTGCCATACTATGATCACACAGTGCATTAACAGCCATTTCACAACAGTAAGGAATTGTGTTAAGTCTTCATCTTGAAGAGCTTTAGAAATAAAAGAGTAAGGAAAACAATGCTACAGACTTTGTGTTTTATGTCTTCAGAAAAGATTACAGAGAAGTACTGCCACTAAAACTACAGCAAATATTAAGTAGCATGTTGAATTTAAAAAATGCTTCTAATGTACATCTGTAAATACTGTAAAAGATATCAGATCCAACTAGCCTACTTTACTTTGGTCTACTGTCAAATTTTCCAAATAAAAAAAATAAAAAAAAAATAAAAAACACCACAATATGCCCAGAATCTCTTAGCAACACAAATGTCAGGATCTTAAGGGAGGGTAGGAATGACAAATTTAAACAGCTATTAAATACTTGCAATTGTTGTAAGTTAGATAAGAGTACATCTTTCTAAATTCCAAAATCACATCTCAACTATTGAAAAAACATCCAATTTCTTCAGGACTGCATAATGTGGGTGGAGAAACTATCAGCTGCATTCGTATTCTGAGCTTTCACTCCTTAAATGTCACAGACATTTGTTTTCACCTCATATAAACAAGTAAAGACACCATAAGCCCTAATTATCACATGCAACCATGTCCCCACCCTAAATATTTAAGCATATTTAATTCAGAATTTTAATCCAACCTGCTTCTGAAACAGCCTGTACATTTTATGAAACTTCAGCCATGTTGTAAAATATTGACTGTATTAGAAGTCAAGAAAATATTTATATATCTTTATATATGTATAAACACACACATAATTTTATTAACATATATGTTTATTAAAAGAACTAAATCAGTACTTAAATGTCTTGATGTCTCCACTGTACCTAGCTACCATCAGGCAGAGCAAGAAATAGTCATTATACAGGGCTCTACTGGAACTCAGGACCCCCAGGCTCCTGGGCAGAATTCCTTACTACATCTGTAAATTGTCTCCAATTAATGCTGTTACCATTAGTACTAACAATACAACAACTAATGATAATAACAGCAATTGTAATAATAAATAATAATATTGCATGCAATCAAGACAAAGAGCTTGAAACTTTCCCTCTGAAACGAAGAACACTGAGATTCATTCCCTGCTCCCAGGACTGGTTAACATCCAAACACAATTTTACATAGGCAAACTGGAAACTTACACCTTCCAACTTAACATCTCTATCACTGCTGCCATGATTCCAAACAGCCACAAAGAACATTATGCTATTTTCAACAAGAAATCAGTGCCTCTGCAATTTCATAAGTCTTTATCAATGACAGTCGTACTCTCACTGGCCTCATGCATATTCTGCTCTCAAACTGTTCCACTGTATCTAGCAGGAAAGTGACAGAAGTCATTGGATACAAGCCAGGCAATGACTATGGAACTCTCCCATGAGAGATGTAACAGAAACTGATGACAGCCAGGAAACAAACCTGTAATCAGTGAAGTTAAGCAATCATTCACTCTGAGGGGAAGGAACAAAAAAAAAAAATGCAGACATTGCCTTCTCTCCCTGAAGTCACCAGAATTTCATCTTGTTTGTGTTAGGTGCTGGCTGTGCATGCTTACCAGCTGGGGCACTGAACCCTTGACACTGAATTTGTAAATTCTGCCACTGAAAGGCATTACATGGGCATCAACACAGTCAATCCAACTTCATGGTAGCAATTCTGAATACATACAAAACCAGAATCTTCAGTATATGCAAGAATTTTAGTGACAGAAGTAAGTCAGAAATCCTCAACTTTTCAGGTATCCCAAGTTATATGCTGGACCTGTGAAGCCAACTACCAGTGGGATTTGTATGGAATACCAACACCATCTTTTCTCCCCTCCCCTCCTTGGGTAGAAACCATGTGCTCACTTGAGTGAAAAATGACTTGATTGTGAGGATGGATGAAAAAGTGCCTTGCAAAGCACAAGAGGTAACCAGAATACAAATCCCACTCAAAATTGCCATAAAAAATCTCAGCTTCTGAAATACCAAGAATTACCCCAACTTCTGCCCATCTTTTTGTGCCTATCAGAAAAATGTCTGCAAAGAACAACTAGAAAGTCTACGCTATGGCAAATATGTCATATATTATCTTTTTTTCCCCCACAGCCTCATCTTTCTTAAGATGTATCCTCAAAACCCATCTCTGTCATGCTGCATATAGGAAACTGCTGTTTGATAATGGCTAGCCTTGTACCATGTTGAGACCACTTTTACTGATCAGCTGAAAATCAGGCACACCCTGTAAGGAATCCCAGTTCCCCCACAGCTATCTCAACCAGCATAGCTGTCACATCTTGATCTTTCAGCCTGTAAGGTCTGTGGAGAAAAACCTGTCACTAAGTTTATGTTTTTACTTTGATATTTAATATGATACTGAAGGAGAAGAACAAGGCAAACAGGGGAGCCACTGGTTCTCTATGAAGCAAGCAACAGTTTTCAAGAATTATTTAACCAATTATTTAAGGTCCTTATACATTCATAGTATTCCCACTTATCTGCTAGGAACACGGGGCAAACATACAAAGTCAAAACAACAGCATAACAGAAAGAGCAATTAACAAGGAAACCATACTGTATATGTTAAAAAAGCTGAATGCAGGGATGAATATGTCATAATAAAACAAAGAAACAGCAACAACAATAATCAACTAATGAAATAAAAGAAATATGGGTTAGAAGAAAACCACCTAGTCCAGCCTCCTACTCAAGGGAAGTCTACTGCCCACAGTAGATCAGATCAGCCTTGGCCGTATCTCCAAGTACATGAAGCCCACAACATCACCGAGTAAAACCTGATCCAGTGCAGCAACACTCCTAGCACAAAAAGAATACTGGGGGGGGGAACTAGGTGATCTTTAATGTCATCTCCAATCCAAGCCATTCTGTGACATATGATTCTACGACTACTTACAACACTAATGATTTTCAAGTGAATTCTCTAACACTGAAATTACGGGAAGAAAACATCCCCAGCTAGCTACTCAGTGTAAAGAACAAAAAAATAACATGAATTAAACTTCATAATTGCTAGCTCAGATTTTACTTAGAAATAAGGTACGAAAATATCCTAAATGTATAAATAATACATTTAGATGTAGAAATAATACCTCAGACGTAGAACAGATCTAACACATTGACAATCAATAAACTTGCATGCCCAATTCAATGAATAGTTATAGTGGAGAACATTTTCACTGCTCAGCAAGTGGCTTTTGAAAATTTGCAAAAAAATGGTCCAGTAGCGCTAATGTCTTTTGATTCAGTCACTACTGAAAACCCAATAGAAATACTTGAGCAGCATGAGGTGGTTCTATGAGAACATTCAGAATTTTCATGTGGTCAAAGCCCAAATTCACTTAATCCACTTTTATAAGAGCCAAATAAAGCTGCAACAAAAGCATGCAGTTTCAAAAACATTTCTCTCCTGACCACTTACATTGGAGTTGGCGAAAATGGAATTTGAGTTGGCTACAGAATATTCTGCATTTGTCAAGTCTTCGTTGCTCTGGTAAAAAACAAAATCATGTTTAGAAACAATACACTCAGTAAAGGTTTTGTATGTCTCACACACAAGAAATGCTACTTACAGATTTACTACTAGGTCCATGCAGAAAATAATTCAGTGCCTGCGGGTCCCTTAAAAAAAAAAAATAAATAAAGTTACTACTTAGGTAACTCTTTCTGCTAATGAGGTGAATTTAACTGAGTCAGACACACTTAAGTCACACAAATCAGGTTTGTTTCACTGACCCCAGTGCAAAATTCAAAGTGTATATCACTTGAGGCTCCTTGCTTCTTTATCAGAATGATTTGCAGATACTGATCAGATTTACTATCACTGCACAAAGACATTTCAAACAATCAACCACGTTCATCACAAAATCTGAGTTACACTATTCTTTTTATGAGGGTATTACTTTCATTCTCTCAAAACAAAGCATTTCACAACCTACAAAACCTAAGGAAAATACTGCAACCAAGTAACATGAACTAAAACAGCCATCATCTCCTCTACTGAGATTAATTATTATGCCTGCTCAGCTACTGTTTAAGTCAATAAGGTTTTTTCACCAGGTCAAATCTTTTTATATGTTTTCTGACACTGTTAACAAGAAGCGTGTGTTTTTTTGCCAGAGTAAAAAGCTGCACCAAGTGAAATCAACCATACAAATAACTGAATAAATGTTACAAAACACAACTTCAGTGCATTTTATGAACCTGGCACTATCACTGAACAGAACTCAGATTTAAAACATGGTCTGACAGAATGAGTGTTGGAAATTCAAATAATTTAAAAATACTTAAATGTAATTGCACATGTAGACCTCATAAAAAGCATTAAAAATGTGTTACAAGTGATGATTTTATTATAAATTGTTATAAATCATTTCCTAACGCGTCCCTAAGCCTAAAGAGCAAAGTGACATGGAGTCTTTTAACTTCAAAACATCTTTATTAATTAAGAAACAATAATAAAAAAAAAAAATTGAGAAACAGGACATCCTCGTTGAAAAAAGAAGTTAATTCAAACCATCTCTCCTCTCTTCATCATCCTAGAAAATAAAAAGGAAACAAGTTAATATATCAAATTTAACAGTCTTCTAAAAGCACAGAAACATGTCTCTTAAATACTGCATTCATGTGTTTATCAAGTACACGTTAAAAAGGTAGCATCTGCCAGAGACTTCACGGTACGATTACATTTACGACACACAAGTAGCTGCAAGCAAAAAAATCATTTTCATAGTAGAAATTTCAAGAATTCAGGAGAAAGATCACTGTATGAGATCACGACGTCAGTCACACTTATTTTACTGATACATTATCAAGCCATTTAATAGTAACTTCGCTCACTGGCTTTAAGTCATGAAACACACAATTAAAAGGCAGAATACTTCATCACCTTAAATAATGGCTTTAATAACTAAGGAATTTTAGAAGGCACTTACCAAAAACCAAAGATGCTGCTGCCCATTCTTCTAGATGCTTATGACAGTAATTGCTGCGAGCACCAGGAAAAATGCTGTAATTTTTCAAATACTCATATGGATAGAGAGCACTTCATTTTCTGGACCACCTGTGAACTTGTACCAGGATCTTCATGATTCACACTCACAACTCAGCACTTAATTATCCAATGCATCCAATTACCATCTTTATGTTAAAGCAGGATGTCTTTTCATTTTTCACAGCTACAGTCAGTAATCTTGCACAGTACACAACACAGAATGTAACTGTGTTCCACCCCAGCCAACACTTTTGCTGTAGCATCCACAGAGTAATCCCTAAATTACGGTAGCCACTGTGATAGCATTTTGCTTTTCTCTCAAGTTCTCACTGGTTTTGCAGGAAGTCTTCAGTGCATAAGAAATGTAGAAAACCTATTTATCTACTGCATGTAGCACAGTATTAAAAAAAAAAACTTGTATGAAATAGATGCCGCATTTTAATAGCTGTTACATGACTGATGCCATACTGATTTTCCATAGTTTGAACAAAAGTACCACATGTGAGATGTTTCTTCTCATTTTTTAAATGTATTACAGCACATTACCTGCTCTCAAATAGTTGACGTGAATGTCAGCCAAGCAAAGGTAACCTGTACCAATACAACTGACAAAAATCTTGCGTTGTAGTAACCTAGTTATTGTATTATGAGATACTTATATGGAATGTATTACTGCAAAAAAATCTGTAAAATCCCCAACTTGATTAAAATCAGCACCTTTTGAGCAAAACAGTAACAAATCCTTGCTTGTTGTGGATACGTTACAGTAGCAGGTAGCACTTCTAATATTTTTATGCAAACACACGTTACTAGTAGAAATTAAGGTGTTCTGGTTTTTTTTGTTTGTTTGTTTTTTGTTTTTTTTAAGAAAATTACATAATCTTTTCTCTTTAAAATACAAACACTGTCAACAAAGTTTCCAGCTCCACCACTCGAAAAGCTGGAGTTCCATTTTTTTTTTAAACCCCTAAAAACCAGTTCTATTCAATGAAGTCTGTAACAACATCCCTAATTACTGTGCTTCTGCAATGACCCTGTATCACCATTAACTGAAACGAGACTTCAGCTTCCACGCCCATTCATTCCTTAGCTCCTCTTGAGAATAATGCCAACAAGTGAAGTGTCATCTAGCATGAAGTGGTACTAAAGGTCATATTACACATACATCTCCATGAAGGGAAGCACAGCTTCATTTCATTTCAACATAGCATAGCTACTCATCTTATTTGCAAGTCACCTGGTATTGATACGATACCCAACCTTTCTGAAGAATTACACAGGCAAAACTTACCCAATAAGATCAAGGAGACAGGATTCATCATCGTCATCATCCATGACAACTAGAAGAGGAAGAGGATATATATTCAGCACACATCAGAGAACATATTACTTTCAACAGCAAAAATATTTTAGAATATCTTAATGATTTTTACCAAACAATTTATGGGAGTTGACAGACATTTATTATTGCCAGAGTTCTTAACTACAAACAAGCATATTCTACAGAGACCTACACAAATTCAATAAGTTTGTCTCAAAATCAAATTCAGCCACATGTCATGATCTACAAAACTTCATACAATATCATTATTTAGGGATTTTTCATTTTATTGCTATTGTTTCTTTTTTTTATTAATGCTCAGCCATTGCTAGTCACAATACACCCAATTTCAGTTTCTCCTTAACTCAAGAGTGTACTTACATGAACTTGCAATTAATAGTACAGAGTTCTGGGAATCCCTTTAAGAACAGGTGGGCAATTCATTTGCATTAGTCAAACTGAACGTAGGCATCCACTGGGCACAGAGCATTTTTAGTCTCAAGCATCCCAGTCACCAACTCTTGTACTCACTGATTAATCAGATTAGTACTGTAACAAATACGCTCCCTCATTTTTTCCTGATTGTTGTTCCTTTGAAGCTTCTATCTGCACGACCCCGACTCTCCCATTTACTGTAACTCTCCAAATCTCATCAAAAACCGTAACATCTTCTCCACTTCTTGTAGGTAACTCTCACAATCTCTTTATCTTCCCTTACTCCCTGCAGAGATCCCAGCTAATCAACTGATGATAGCATCTCCTATACCTCTTTATACCTTGGCATCCATTCAGTTATCCAACATCATCCACACAATATCATATAATCAAATCAAACCAATTCCTGCCATGCCTGTGTTTTTCTCAGCTCCCCTTAAAATTCTGCCATTTATAATTCTAGTTAGACTAAAATAAATTGAAGCCAATCTCTTATGTCAAAACAGAAATTTACTCCCCCTGACCAGCTCTGTACACATCATTCTGTGGGCTCTCATGACTGTTCACAGTGATTGAAATGAAGGGACCTGTCTCACAGGAGGCTGAAAGCACTGGGTCTGTTCCATCAGAAGAACAGAAGGCTCGGGGGCGATCTCAGCAATGGGTAGAAACGCCTGATGGAAGGACATAAGGAAGACAGCCAAATTTTTGACAGTGGTATCCAGTAAAAGAGGCAAGGGATACAACGTGTTTCTGTTTAAACTTAAGAAAAAAGTTATTTTTCTATGAGGTTGTCAAACAGTGGTGCAGGCTGCCCAGTGAGGCTGTGGAGTATTTGTCTCAGAACCCTGCTGATGCGACCCTGTGCAGCCTGCCTTGGCTGGCACTCCTGCCAGCAGGGCATTGGACAAGGCATTCCCAGAGGTCCTTTCCACCTCAACTGCCCCGATTCTGTAATCTCTTTTTATACCTCAGTGATTTTCAAGCTAGCTTCTACCTCATACTAACAGAAAATATCCCAGCCCTTATGCTGTGCAGCCCCATGCTTATTGACTGACAGCATGCAGCAGAGGATCGGTCACTGCAAGGATGCCTCGCAATCCCTGCTCCATCAGAACAGGAAAGCAAACCGTGCCTACAGCCAACTACTTGAAACATCAGACAAAAATCAGCATTCATGAGCTGACTCTGCATTTTAAGGAAAATACTCTCGCCCATGATTCAGTAGCACATCTGCTCGCTGCTGCAAACCAGCAGCATAAACGCTGGTCTTGCAACTGAATGCTAAGCAAATTACAAAACATTTTATAATGTAGCTGAATTTAAATGCAGATGTGCATTAATAAGAACAAATCAGTAAGTGATTAGCATTCTGCCTTAATGGCACTGTTAACACTTCTTACAGGAAGCTATTATTTCCTTATGCAGCATATACAGCTATCAAAAGCAGGTTCCAAAGACTTCTAGCTAAATGAAGGGAGAAGGAGAAAAAATTAAAAAACAGGATTTTTTTTTCCCCACACAGCACGCCTACTTTTAAAAATCCCATTCCATATTGCTATGGTAACAGTGACACTGCTACTTGAATTCAGTAAAACTCCTTCACTTCACCAAACCGAACATTCTCTGCAACCATACAATAAAGGCTTACCATTGTGGGAAAGTCCAAGCAACCACACAGAACTTTGTTCAACCACTATTCCGATGGGTATTATAACTACTAACACAAATGAGATGAATTTGCTAAGTTCACCAAACTCTTGAAAACTCACATTTATAAAAATTGCAAGAGGAAATAAAAATACAAGAAAATGAGATGGAGAAAAAAATCTTAACAGTAATACATACTTTCTACTATTCAGCCTTACTGCTAAGCATACAGCTCACCTGATTAGGAAAATGTACTGCTATGTTTTTCCTCACTCAACACACAAGAAAAATCTACCCAATTTACTGAAAGTTCCTACCAGTCTACAAGACAATAAAGACAAAAATGAAGGAAACAGATACATTTTTGTAAACTCCACGATTAACTACCAGTCCTCCCAGAAGCACATCTACCAAGCTCTAACAAAATTCTTGCCATCACTCAGCAGAACTCTTACAGCAGCATTCAGCTGAAGAGGATGCTGCACTCTCAACACCTTGAAAACCACAAATAAACAAAAAAATACATCACTATCACCTCAACATCCCCCCAGCAAGGGTTGTGTAACAACACACTGATGTGACGCAGGATGGCAGCGTGTCTGTGAAATACCGCAGGACCAACATGCAGTTGGAACACCACTCACAGGTATGCGGTCTGTGAGAAAAAAGCCAAGTTCATAACCAAGCCACATGAGCTCACTACCTATTCAGAATAAATTCTGTTTGCATTTCATTAGGTGTACCTAAGGTTTACCTAAACCATGTAACTGCACATTTAATTCTTTTTAACAGACGCCAATTTTCAATGACGATTTGTGTTCTGCTAATTTCAAGACAGCAATAGAACAGGTGCACAATCAAGTTAAATTATTGTACAGTCATCCCTTTGGTCTTTCTTTAGAAGAGGGCCACTTGAGCAACATGTGATCTTGACAGAAATTATCATGTAAAAGTGTAACAGCCTACCCTATGAAATTTCCTTAATGTACTTTTTACAGCGTAAACATTAGAAAAGCTTACTGCTTTTTGTCTTTTTATACCCAAGTTACACAAATCTAGCGTGTAACTAATCCTCATCAGTATTTGTTAACACAGTGGACAAAATTACTGATGTATGAAATGTGTACAACCCACATTACCAAAACAGCATGAAAATATAACACAGAGAGCGAGAACTATAGGATGAGAGCTGCACAGCCCAGATCTGTAGCCTGCCAAGCTCCATGTTTGCAACCCAAGGTACACATTAGAGGAAAACATTAGAACCTCAGCAGTCCGTGCATATAATTTATAAATAAATACACAAACATTGGGAGTGATTGACAATGTGTGGAGACCACTGGCACAGGCTTATTTCTGGCTTTGGGTCAGCTGGCTGGGGCTCCAGGCCATGGGCAGGGGCATGAGGCCTGGCAGAGCCTAGGAGGATGCCCCAGTGAGAGAGACAGCTGGGGGAAATGTCCGCACAGCCTCATGGGCAGCTGCCAGACAGTACCCTAACATAAATCATTATCATCAGTACAGTTCAACAGTGTATTTTAATTTAAATACAACGCTCAGTTTTTCAAACTGAGCTCTGCCAGTGCATCCAACTGATCTACCAAGTGCAAATCCCACCTAATTAAGTCACTACCCAATTGATACTCCCTGAAATTTGCCTCATGGCACCTGGAGAAGGCATCATTTGTAGCTACATCCCTACTAATTGCTGGGAAATAACCAGGCTGCCCTTTATTGCACACTCCCAAACAGATTATAAGAGAGAGCAAAAACCATTAAGGTAGCAAGGAACTACCAACTATGCAGGCCAATCCTTTGAGGCACTGTAACTCAGTGGCCTGAAAATCTCCATCCTCTTCCCAATAGTTCAACCTAATTGCAGAATCCTGTCCCCATATCAGCTCCAGGCTTTGAACTAGCACATAAAATTGATCTGATAAAATACACTAATCTGTTTCAGTTTGAATGAGCTTCTTGGCCTGGTTTTGACTTGCTACAGAGCAACAAGAGCACTTGTAAGGCCCAATCTGAAATACGGTGTTCAGTTTTGAATTCTCACTCTAAGACAAACTCAGCACTCCAGCAGTGCACAAACAACATTGGGAAGCACCTAGAGCACAGCACTAGGGCAGTTTGAGGAGAGCATGTTTCCTTAATCTGGACATCAGGAGGCTAAAGCAGGCACTAACTGCAGTCTTCCAGTTACCTATGGCAAGAGCCAATGCCTGCAACATGGAAAATTCAACTGGAGATAAGGAAAAAAGTTCATGAACGAGAAGGTTCAAGCACAACAGCTGTGGATTGACTTTCTTTGCCTATTTTCAAAACTCACATGGATCTGACTTCAAAGCTAGCTCTGCTTACAGCAGGGAATTGGACCAGGTAACCTCCCAAGTGGCCCTTTATTATTTCATTATAAAATTCATACAAAACTTCACATAGTAAAATATTATTTTCAGATCTTATAAAAACCCAATAGTGGCTACTACAGAAACGCAACGTTCAGAGCAGTAATTCTCAAAAATGTGGTAAGGTCAACAGTAAAGCTTGGTAAGCTACAAGTAAATGCATTTATATGCAAACTCACAACTTCCGTGCAACTGCACATAACAGTTCCTGACCGGCAGCACATGGACCCATGAATCTGAGACTCAGCAGTAGCACTTGGAAATCAGTGTTTTAAACAAGGCAATGACTTCAGTAGTTACAGCGGAAAGAGGTTACAAGAAGATCACAGCAGCATTAAAACTGATTCTACATCATTTGCAGGGACAAAACACCCAGAGTTTAAGTCCTTCCCTGACTCAAACTTTCACCACAACTGCCAAGCATGGTGCCAGTATTTTCTACTCAGCACGCTTCTAAACTAGGAAAAAAAAATGATGCCATTTCACAACATACCAGGTAATGTGCACCATCTATTCAGTATTCACTTCAGCTTGCTGTGGTGCTGAGACTACCGCCTTGAACACATTGCTGGTTATCATGCAGACTCCTAACAGACCAGCCCCTCCTCACACTGAACAAAACCAGGGCTGCAGAACCTCGCCTATGTTCTCTGCAGCACAGTAGTATAACAACAGAAACCAAACCCTCAGCTAGTTAATACAGCCTAGTTCCTTGCAAATGGAATAGTTTCAGATTGTTTAGAATATTTTCTTAACTAAGCAAGCACGTTAACCAGTTTAAAAGCTGTTCATCACATCCGTCTCTTCATTTTCAAGATGCTGACTTCTACTCAGATAGAAGATGAAAAACAACACCTATTCTGAGGTACTTCCACTTCCCCTCGGTCAGTGTAAAAATTATGTGCACCAGCATAATGACACATCAGTCAATAAAAGAGTGCTAAATATTTTCTTTTAAGTGATGGCAAATAAAAAACCCTCTAATTTTACTAAGGCAAAAACACAGAAGACAACTATTGAAAAGCTGTCATTCTAAGACAAAAAAGAAGAAAGAAAAATGAACTTTTAAAGTGTACTTTGTAAAATAAAAGGGCTCTCCTACAAACCTCACTGTGCCGATAATGTAAATATTTCTTACATTTTCTCTTTCAGAGTAATCCATGAAAATCAACTATTGCACAGTTGCAAAATCTACCAAAAACTATAAAGAGTTCACAAAGGAAGAAATTTGGGATCCTAGCCCAGCAACACAATGCATTTCACAAGTGTGAATTATTTTCTGTACTGAAAATCTTTTTCTGTATTGAAAATCTTCATTTCTTAAGATGAACTTACTGTGCTTGAAATTAGCTGTGGAATTCAGAATTTAAAGTATCAGTACTCTCAACGACTTTCTGTATGTGACAGTATGGGAGGAAATCTGCAATTTCAAACATTCAGAAGAACAATGCAAAACCTCTCTTTGTGGTAAAACTACTCCACAAAAATGGGAGCTACGCGGGACTTAGATAAAAAGCAACAATCACAAGGCACAAGCACTACCTCATATGAAATATGTAACCTGTGCAAAAGTATGCATCTTCACAGTTTCTGAGATTTGATAGGTGATGAACATCTGAAAGGAAGAGTAGAGTATATAATAGTTACATACCAGTTCCACATAAAGAAGGGCAAATAAAAAACATACACTAGAGCTCAGATAGCCTACAATAAGCTGCTCATTCAGCCCTTAAATTTCATTTCCCATAAACATACCATAAAAAATTAGTCTCAATTTGAGTTTGGCAAGCACCTTAAGGTATAAAGCTTCCAAAAACTACAGTGATATTTTATTTATAAAAAATAGAAACGTCCACTTCAGTTATTAATAGCACATATGATAGGGAAAATTAATCTAGACACAGTCAAACACTCTGTTTGTGAATTCTCAGCACGGATCTCTAAAATCTCGTTTCCCTTGGATACACAAGTTCAGAACTGAATTCGTTATTTATTCAATACAATATTTTCCTACAAGCTTTTCATGGCAACACCATATTCTGACAATATTTTAATCTGAGAGCTTTCATTCTCAAAATCCCACAGAGAAAATCCAAAATAATTCATAGCCTAGAGCTCAGGATGCTCACCGACCTCAACAGATTCACAGGGCTGAATGCCCAGCTCAGCCCACTTTCCCTGCAGAGACCTCCCTATCACCAAGCCATTGCCTGTTTTGGGCTCTATCTTCTAAGCTTTCCATCACACAGTTCTTCAGGAATCTCAACACTCCTAAAACATTTTGAAACTTCTTGGCTACATCAGGAATCAATCATTCCTCAGCTTATTCATTAATTGTCAATTAATAACTTTTCAATGCCATTCTGGACCATATTAATTTTAAAAACAAAAAACTATGGTATATCTTACTACAGGTGTGATACAACCAAGATAGTACCAGCTGACAATGCATTACTGCCCATAATTGAAAGCTGAACAGAGCTTTCTATTCCTTTCAGTTAATAGGTTTGGGAAATTAACTGAAATTTGAACATGATAAAACGACACATGTAACAAACCCAGCAGAGCACTTCATAACACTGTCCCAAACACCACATTGATCACTGGTCAAAGCCAAGGGAGCTTCTGCCACCGATCTACCAAGATTTTCTGGTAGACAACATCTCAACAAACTCAAGCTTCAATATCAGGACTTAAAATTTACATCCAGTTCAAATTCACAGAAACATTGAGTTCCACCCAAGAGAAGGCAACACATCAGCCCCTACCACAACAGTGAAGCTGACTTCATTTCTAGTGCATTAATGAACTCCCCTCTCCACCCTTCCATAATACTACTAACAATAGAAATGCTTTTGTATCAAGTTTTGACAGAGATTTGCCCATTCTTTCTTTCCCTTCTGGTGAACACTCCCTCAGTCAAAAGGAAAATGAGAAGAAGCTCTGCAACATTTTAAAAAACTACTGCGAGTAAAGAAGTTAAAAGAACACAACTGACAGTCCATATGTGCTGGTTAATAGTTACTTTTTATTTTTTTCCCAACAAATATTTTTCAACCATTCTCCGTTAAAACAGAGACACAGCAGATGGTTTTTCCACAATGAAAACACAGGTAAAAGAACATTAGAAAATAGAGATTCACAAGTTCATTTAATTATGAGATTTTCTTGAAAAAAAAAATCACTTAAGGTCACAGTGTTCACACTCCCATATCAATACGAGGGCTTTACCAACACCATTGATTTCAGCTTTCCAACTTAAGCAGTTGCAGGTTGCAATACACATCAGTGCAGTTTATGAATTTTGCAGATTGCCCTCTACTGTAAGAAAACAAAGCATGCTTGTTTCTGTAGACAATCCCATGCTTGTTCTGCACAGATTATGTCACCATAAAAAAAACTCTGCAAGCAGAAGCGGAGTCTATTCCAACAGAACTACTATAATAAATTATCCCAGCTGTCTGGACAGAATGAACTACAGCATCAGAAAAGCAATTATACCTGGACAGTATCTATCACTTATAAAAGGGATGCCACACTTTTGCTCTCCCACTGCTACATCTACATTAAAAAGCACTACCCATTAGACTTACTGTAAGTCTAACACAGCATGAAAAGACACAATCATTGACCATTAGAGCCACATTATGCATAAAACATAACTGCAGTTATGCAGGCTTTTTCCTGAAACTGATGTGGAGTTATTCTAGCAAAACTCTGAGGACTTATGTAGCAGGCAATACCCAAGCAGAATAACACGCTCACACCTACCAAGATCTTCAACTCGGGACTATTCACTTATCTATATTTCTAAGTTTTGTGGGCACAAAAGGGTTTTTGAAGGAAATGCAGCTTATACTAGTAGAGCTGGTTTGGTTCTTCTGCTTGTATTCTGCCCC